TCAATAAATAAAATTTAAAGTAGTGTTATCAGTAGCGATTTACCCATCATCCTAAATATATATTTTGATTTTATGCTATTGATAGTGATATACCGATAATGTACTACGATCACGACACGAGTAGTGTTAAGATGATCGTGAGAAATCTATTTCACTCATATACACACATCGTCTGACTGGTTTTTATATTCGCTATCTTTCACTCTCTTTCTCTTTCTCTCTCTCTTTTATTCTTTCTTTCGTTCTCTTTCACTCCCTCTTTCTTTCTCCCGTTCATTCTGTCTCTTTTCATTTGCGCTGGTACTGCATAACTATATACATCCCTCATACATACAAGTTTTTCATCTAGAAATAGTGTCGTATACCCCTAAAACTAAGATTGAATTTCGGTAAAGCGTTATTTTATTATATTTTTTATACCATTAACAACAACGTACATGTAAATGAAGTGAATGCTTGGAATATTGAGAGCGGAGATGTTAGTGTTCACTTTTTCTTTATGTTAAATACACTATAATATTACTAGTATAATTCGATTTACAATTTACTATTCTTACAGTTTGCATTCGCATTGGTTGCATGTAAAGGCCAGTAAATATAATAATCGTGTGCTGATATATTATCGCGTAACATTCGTGATATTTGAAAGTAAGGAGATCGCCACGGACTAAATATCGTTGCTAATTTCAACAATCATTGTATGGATGGAAATCGCAATCGATGGAATGCAGAACCGATTTTTATCAAAGCAAACACTGCGGGCAACAATAAGAATCGGTGAGATTTTTAAAAAAGAGAAACGCGGAATTCCGAACTCCATTGTACGCGTGAGTGACATTGTTCAGGTTCAATTTTAAAATTTTACAAACGTGAAAACAATTAAATTTTTAAATATTTATAACGAGGGTATGGCACAATCGAAAAAAATGCAACGTGGGCAGATCATTTACCCAAAATCATTTTTTTCTGCTAAATGAAAAAATTGCCATTGTCTAATAGTAAAATGATTAAAAAAAATTGAATTTCTTTCGAAGTTTACTTTTTAAAAGTGGCAATGAAAAATTGATCTAAAAAGAAACGCATTTTAAAACTTTGAAGTAAAAACTATGAATGTGACATAAAATTGAAATTCTCAGATGCAGTATTCCAAAATCATCACAGATCAAGAAAACGGCTCAAAGGAAACATGTACATAGAAATATTGCATTAAAATTTGATTGAGTATTCGAGTATAAACGACCAACGAACTTTCACTTGCCGTTCTTGTCTAAAACTGGCACGTACAACCTTTTTTTTGCTACTAAAAATAATAAGGCTCGTCACTTAAATAATAGTGTACTAAATAAGCAACGATGATATTGATAACTGTAATATTTATAATAATAATGATAATAATAATGGTGCCATCTCAATAATAATAATAATAATAATAATAATAATAATAATAATAATAATAATAAAGATAATAATAAAGATAATAATGACATTGAAAATAAGAAATACATATCGCATTTAACATTGTTAATCTACATACTTCAAATAGTTATATATATATAATGTAGCTACGTAGATACATCACAATATAGTTACACTGTACATTAATAATATTGACGCTCGTGTCGGACCGCGGATCGATGATTATCTCCCGACACAATGTACAAATCCATTATATACATAAAATAAATTATTATCAACATTAAGCTACCTTAAATCTGATGCCGGTCGAGCCCCAACAAAACGGGTGCAGATATATCGAGGATACTGGCTCTCTTTATAAAATTATATTAGGTACCGTGTGTGTATGTAATTGCACTGATTATAAATAACAAAAAGAAGAAAACGTGAAAAAAGAAGGAGACGCAAAAAAATTCGTTTCACGTCGAGCCAACGAGGCGACTCGGAACTAGAGGTTTTTCTCTCACTCTCTCTCTCTTCTTCTTTTTCCTTTTTTTTGATTAACCCCCCGCCCGCGAAAACGCTATTTGGCACATAAGTATTATATCACATCAAGCTCCAAATCATTATATCGCTCTGTTCGATCCCATAGACTATTGCCTAGCTACAATTATGTTCGCCTTTTTATATCGACTTACGTGAGGTCTCCGTCGATATCTTCCCTTACCCCCCCCCTTCCCCACTCATGCACCGCAATCTCCCCCACATTCGTAAATGTAATTCGAAGACGGAGAAGCGCGTGACGCGCCCCTATCAAAATAGAGGCGACGTGTCGAGCATGGTGATCAGATTCGCAGATGCGCTGATCTTTCGATAAATAACGCTATAATTCCTTCCGCAACCATAACCGTTTTTACCGTAACGTTGTACTAATATATCGACAATCCGCTAATTCCCAATGTGTTCGTCCCATTTCAACCCTCTTTATTATGCCCTCTCGCCCCTTTTCGCCCCCTGCCACTCAGTCGACTATTACCGTCTCGGCTGTCGCTGCTTTTACATTGGGGTCAATAAATTAACGGTGAAAATACTATAAGTACTAGGCATTTATATTAAATGAGAAGCCCGTCACGCGTCTACGTACCGGGATTTAATCGCGCGAGCGATTAGCTTCTAGCTTTTTCTCACTCTGTTCCGACCTTTCGTTCGGCGCGTCGAACGCAGTTGTTTCATGTATATGATGGAAACATTCAAACAACTGGCGGTCGCAAGATAAGATTGCCACGTGCGGCGTCTACGCGTTTGGACGCGTGCGATCGTTGCGGAAGATGCTGCGAGATAGACCAGTTTCTATTTATTCGTTTACTCTTTTTCTTTTCTTTCTCTTCTTTCTTTTCGTTTCTTTTTCCCTGATATGATCATCCAGAAATCGGCCAAATCGTCAGTCTCATACATACATACATACTAAGAGAAATAGGAACAAGACTTTTTGGCCATGCATCGTGTCGCAACATGTACGTGATATCGGCTACGTATCCAATTCCGATAAGGAGACCGGCACGAGTTGCGCATCCGAATCAGCGCGCGATTGTCTTATTATAAAAATTATGCGTACATATGCACGTATTCTCGCCTCACGCTCCGTGCGCACACACGCCGAATGTAGGGACTGAATTACAACAAGCTGCTTGATTTTTAGCCGCTAATTCAATGCCGGTTATCTCTAATCATTATCTCTACACGTTAATTAACGATGGTCGAAGTCTACCGTGACCATATAAGACACAACCTTCTTAGAATGTTATGTAAATATTAAAACAGATAAATAATATTTATATAACATTCTAGAAATATTGTGTGCTTATAAGGAAGTTCCGGACTGCAGTTTTGATTACGATGCAGGAGAATATACAGGGAATACCGCTGATGTGCGTAAGAGAAATCGTCCTCTATGTAATCGTCGCCCGTGTAATGCAGAAGCAAGTTACCAAACGAAAGATGTCATAGGAGACGTGCGAAAGATTAGGATGTTAGATTAGGATCTAACAGTTGTCTTTTAAAATCTTACGACGTCCCATTGTTTCAGTTTGGATCGCTTGGACCGTTTTCAATGTATTCGGAAGAGTTCGCTTAAGAATTTCGATTGAACAAAAGCGAGCAACCGAAACATTTTACACAAGAACAATTTACGAATTGCGGCCATCATCGTATATGGGAACAGATAAACACCCGGATCTTGATACATGTCTCGAAATTGCGTTGTATTGCGCAGCGATGAAAGAAATCCGAAAATTGACATGCAAAATAATACACGCGAAAATAGATCGATTAAATTTTTGAAAATAAAGAATTTACAAAGAAAAACAAACTCAACTATTTCGGCGTCCCTTTCCTTGATTTTAATGAGCTTTGGATATATGAACGTTGATATTAAAATGAAAGATGTACATTTTTTTAAATATTCAATTTCACTTTAAGAGATATTATATAAATACAATTTTAAAACAAACTAATTTTAAGTCTTTTTATATAAATATCGGTTTCCTCTAATCTCGTGTATTATTTAAAAGTGCTAATTCAATCATGTATAATAATTTTTATATGCAAAGACAATACAATTTTTCAAGCATTAAAAATAAAATCAGCCATTTTTTACGAGATATTAAAAATATAAATAGAATGATATAAACAATGAATAAATTTATATGAAAATCAAATCACAGTTCGGAAAACAATTTTATTGAATATAGCTCTATTTGACATAAATTATTTGGAGCTTACACAACGCTTATTCAAAGCTTCAAATCAAGAAAATAATTGGATTTTCTTGTTTTTTTTCTTCTTAAAGGCTGTGGCACATAAAAAAAACTTAAGCAATAAGCAAATCGATCAATCACAATAGAGACTATTAGACCATAATGTAAGCAGTAGCGAATCCAATATGTTGATTCCTTACCGTTTAAGTCTTACATCTTAAGTTTCTGTATGTGCTAAGGCTTTAAATGAATACTATGAATTGGATGTCAGATGATTAAATGTTAAAATATTTGCTGAATTTAAAGAAATTGTTATCAATATGAGCAGCTTATCAATATAAGCTTGTCGTGTATCGAGATCCGCGTAAATATTCGATACAAATCAAACGGACTAACTGATGTAAAGATTACGTATAGCGAACACACCAGCATTTTTTTTCAATAAGTTTATACCGAAGAGCAAGAAAGATTAACGATCGAGCGACGTCGCGACGGAGATGCTCTCGCGCTTTTACTTCGTGAATAGGTCCTTCGCGTTTCGCGTACGATGGCACAGAAATAGAACGTTATATCACAACCTCCGGCGAGAGGTTTCGAGACGCCTGACTCTTCTTTCCCCGAGAAGTAGTATCCTCTTCCAGTTCACTCCGTCGTGCAGAGAAGCGCAGTTCGCGGACATGTTCCTGCGATCGCGCGTTCACAGTCGGTGTCGCACATGACACCTCGACGTTGTCACACTGAGACGGATGATTCCGATTACCAGAAGAGTTCGTAAGCGAGCCTCGACGTAGACGCGGCCGCTGCAGTCGCTGCGGCCGCCGCTGCCGCTGCCACTGCCGACGATGATGACGATGATGCTCCGGGCGGCCAAAGTGGCTGACCCGGAGCTGCGGTTCAATCCTCATCGTGGTGCCGTGGACTCGCGTCGTAGCCGCCGATCGAGCCAGAATTTTCGGGTGAGAAATTCATCATGTCCGTAGGCGATAGGCTGTCCTGTGGATAGTAGAACGAAGGATGGTCCGAACTTGGGCCGGCAGCACCGCCACCACCGTTCAGCATCGTCGCCGGCGGCGAGACCGATGGTCGCGCCGACGGACCGGCGCCCGTGCCCGGATGATGTTGCGTGCCAGTCATATCGGCACTTACCGGTGACAAAAAGTTCATCTCAGTGCCGCCGTCACGGCACCACAACTGCCGCATCTCTTGCCGCCGCTGCCGCATCAGCGACTTGTACTCGGAGATACGCATCTTTTTACCGTCCACGATGCACGTGCGCTTTGGCCGCGGTCGGTACCTATAGTCTGGGTGCTTTTCCATGTGCAGCTTCGAAAGCCGTGATTGTTCCTCGTAATATGGCTGTTTCTCCGAATTTGACATCGACTTCCATCGGGCGCCTGTACCGATATAAAGAATACATGTTGAAGTGGAACACGTTTCGCGTTCTTTGATAATTTTTCACATAAATTAAATTAAATCAAATGTATCGAACAATTTCTCATTGTATTCTCTGCTTGTGATTTATATTATTTTTGAGTTTTAGCACATATTTGCGAAATTTTATATTTGTATCACATTAATAGACTAATAAATTTATGATATAAATAATTGATATATGTAATTATATAATTTAAGTAAATTAATATAGATAAATTAAAGGTATAATTATAAAAGGTTTTCTTAAAGAATATATCGTTACTACTAAAAAATAATATAGTTAAAAAAATTGAATTTTTCAGAAAAGTGGAAAATTATTTTTCAACAATAGAAAATTAATTAAATAATATCAGCAAGAAGAATATAAAAATATGATCAAATAGAATCTTTGGTCATTTTTTGTTTCAGAATCCTTAAAATACTATTCTTTTTGGTATCATACAAAATTACGATAAAGAATGATTCATCAAATGAAACAGAATTCGAAATATCACCAATTTATATTTATCTTGATGAGTTAAAATTACTAAAACATTTGCAAACTGTAAAACTGTCTTAACTTTACATGTTCTCTGTGTAAAAGGCTATTCTAAATATTCTTATTTATAAAATGCTCAAAATGTGTCACTTTTGTAGAAGATATTATGTATCTTTTTGAAAATTTTTTAAGAAGAACACAAGTATTATTTGACGGACGGACTGTAAAATTAAGTTAGTTACTTTTGATGATTGATAGTAATAAAGTAGTAATCATTACCTCACTAAATTCATGGTACTAATTCGAAAACATATTTTTAAGTTGTATAATGACTTTAGAAGTAAAAGGGAACGATAATTATTTCATAATTACATTCATTAGAAAAATCGTTATAGTTAAAGCATTAACTGTAATCGTGCGAGTGACGTGTATGGATCGGGTATACTTACCGAGAATTTTCGATATGTTCGAGTTGTGCATGTCTGGGCAGGCTTTCAAGATCTTTCTACGTTCGTCCTTGGCCCACACCATGAATGCGTTCATAGGTCGCTTGATATGTGGCTTGTTCTCACCCTCCCTTTTCTGCTGCCTCACCATTTTAGCTGAAGAGAAAGAGAAAGAGAGACGGGGCGTTAGATGTCACATCGTCGTCGAGATTCACGATACTCTCGTGAGAAACGAATCTGATTTCGCGAGGGCGTCACTTGGCGCTCTCAAAACAAGAGCGTAATAGTAGTCTAATCGTTACTCATAGAAATGCTTACCTTTTTCCGTTATGTCTTCCGCTACTTTATATCCCGGATCTCGCCACACTGCAATTTCAAAACCGAATATATCATATATACGAGATATGCGACGTTACGTAGAAGGCTATTATGCATAGCACTAATATTGTACAATCATTATAATAAATATTATATATTACAATATTACAATATTGTTTATATTTTTCTCAAAAAGAAAAAGAAAGAATTTACATAATACTAAATTATTATAATTTTTACATGCTTATATGCACATTTAATCTCATTTTTTTCATTCTTGATTTTAACTTGATTTCGACTTGAATTTATGACACACTATCGCATTATTTCAAAAAAGTCTGAAAGATCTGAAGATTCTACATTTGTCAAAAAATGTACGCTACGTTTGAAACTATATTAAGTGTTCTTTGTATCTACTTCGCGATCCGTCTCGCGATTAACGCGACGCTCGTTTCTCCACGTCCACTTACTGTGAGGCGTCGAGAGAAAATCCTGTTCCTCCTGAGGCGGTTCCTCCCGAGAGCCAGAATGCTTGATCGGTCTTTGAGTCTGGGCCGACGGTGGCATCCCACCTGTATTCGATGGCAATCCGTACAGCCCATGCATCGCGAAGTGCTTTTCCACAGCCGCGACCGCAGCGGCCGCCACGGATCCTCCCGGTCCGCCGGCCTCGTCTTTGGCCATTACCTTGCCCACTGTAACGGGTTACCAGAGAAACGGAGTGAAAGATGCGTAAGAGATACGAAAACGAAAGAATTCACGTTTTTAAGATATACTTTACAGATATCTTTTAAGATATATAGAGTAAGATATATAAAGTACTAAAAAACAAAGACGTAGAGCAGAGAATGTGATGTTTCTGATTTTTTTCGCGTCTTATGTTAGTTCTTTATTTCGTTTTATTATTTAGTTCAGTTTTATTATTTAGACCTTCGCAGCTATCCCGAATTTCATTTACAAAAAAACTGTCGAAACTCTCTCATCGATTTTGATTTGAGCACTTTGCATGTTGTAGACTATTATAAAGTATCAAAAAATATTAACAATATTAATAACCGTTTTTTACCTGAAAGTTATAACAACCAACAACTCTCAAAAATAACGGATTTTTTTTCATTTTCATCGAATATCTTCAAAATTATGAAAAAATATTCTGTGTAAAAGTTTTATATTTTATACTCTTAATACAGGTTTTTAATTTATCCTCATCTCCAGTTGTTTCGAGACTTCTAAACTTTGAAATAAGCAAAGTAGTTCTAATACTTTTTTATAATCATATTTAAAGTCGGTGGATACTTTCGACAATTTTTTTGATGATTAGTCAGACTACCTGAATTGCGATTTTTCAATGGAAATTAGTTTTAAAAAAATTTGAAAGAATCTATTCTGATATATTCTTTTAATATTTAGAAATACAACTGTATAATTATGTGACTTAAAACGTTTCTTAATTTTTTTACATATCAATTTTGAGGCAGAATCAGCAAAATAATTTAAAGTCAAAAAATTGTCTTTAAATCCTCATATGAACAGCGGAGGATTAATGTATCATAGACATTAGAATTTTTTCAAATAGAAAGAAATATAGCCTCTGAAAAGAAATAGCAAAGAGCTTGCTGTCGTTCGATTGCGCTTGTAAAATAAATATTATTTTCAAAATTGTTTGCAGGAATTTTTTTTGCTACCGGATCTTTAACACAATCCCGAAGTTCAGACACATTTTTTAGTATAGTTCCATGTATGTTGCGGACGAAATAACGCGCGGCGATTACACGAAGAGATTTGCTCTTGACATTACAATGACGGCTTACGGATTTTTTTCCCTTCCTCGCTTATACGAATCGCGCGTCGCGCGGCCCTTATCGGGTGGAATCGCGTTACGCATCGTTGATTATGAGTATGCCGGTACTCGTGGCAAAAACCAGATGGCAAGTGAAACAGGTTCTCCGGTCGACGAACAGCCGTGGAAAAAAAACTCCGGCCGCGGACAATCGGGAAAACTAGCCTGCTCGAAGATGATTAAGTGTTCACCGCCGGCATGAAATCGCATACTCTGGAAGGTACCAACCATGCCTTTCTCTCTTGGAATCCATTTACGGCAATCGGCAATTTGCAATTGTTCCGTGGGACGAATGCGTCGCGTAATCGGCGCAAGCACGAGTTCTGGTAATGCTCGGATCGCAACAACGGGCGTTACTTTAATTGCGGTAATTCGGATGAATTCACGAACGGTCGGTCGATTATAATAGGTACGCAATTTGCGAAATGCGCTGTAGTGAAAGCGTACACGTATATCGCATAAAGATAATTAACCGTTGTGAATAGCAACAATCTCTCCAGAATATCCGCGAAATGTCATTTCGACACGATACTCGACTTCATCGCTCTTCAACAGCCGGTGTAATCCTGCAGGCTTTATTCTGCTCTCACGCCAAGCGATTAAAGTGAATGATCACGAATGTTTTACTCACTCGGCGAAGACAGAGTGCTGAGATGCGGTGGTAGACCGGCGTAAGGAAGCGTCGGCAGGTAATTCCGCGGTATCGGCAGTCCTGGCGGGAAGAGTTTGGGCGCGGTCGCCGCTAATGGTTGCTCTTGCTGGCCGCTGCTTCCGGCACCGGTCGAGTGCGAGTCACTACCGGGCGACGAAGAAGAGGCCGTGGCGCCCGAGGACGTCGATTTCGGCTTGGTGAGGTTCAGCGGGGCATCGAGATCCTGAAGAGGCGGAGCCGTTGGCGCTACCGCAGATGAAATCGGCGCCGGCGACGACGATTCCTTCTCCATTTGTGTGGTCATCTGAGCGAGATGCGCGGTCGCCCAGCTTGGACCTTCTCGATGGCTGCTGATCATCTGCGAACGAATGAAAAATCTTAGGAACGTCAGATTATAAGTAATGAGTTGGAATTTCTCGATCGGAATAGGATAATATTAACTAATATTATATTGGCGTTACTAATATAAAGTAAAATTTATTAAAGTTTAGCTAATTTAAGAACTCAAATCAACATGCAATTTTTAGAATACTTGGAACTAAGTTTGATTCTCAGACGAAATTATATACGAATTTATATAATAAAATTTATGTTATTAAAAGTTATTAAAAATTGTTTTTATTACAATAATAGGCAATTGTAAAAATAATACTCTACACACACACACACACACACACACACGCGCGCGCGCGCGCGCGCACGCATGCACACACACGCACACGCACGCACGCACGCACACGCACGCACACACGCACACGCACGCACGCACGCACACGCACGCACACACGCACACGCACGCACACACACACACAGAGTTTGTTTTTAATAAATGTTAGGATTTTAATGTTTTTTCATAATCAGATTTTTATATCTCTAAAATGAGCACTCTTGCAGAAATCCAATTTAATACTGATAAAAATAGTGATTAATTATTATTAATTTTGAATATGGCTCGTATAGCTTTAGCAGTTATATTAGTTGTATGACATCAAAAGCTAGAAATGACATTCAATAAATTAATTGCTACGTACAGCATTATTTTTTAATTTTCCCTTATAAACATAACAATTTCATAATTTTGAAACCTGTAAAATATATGGCAAACTAAAACATTTATCCATATCGAATAAATGTCTCAGTTTATCGCATATTTTATAAGTTTCAGGATTATGAAATTGTTTCAAGGAAAAAAATAATGTTGTATCCAGTAATTAATTAATTACATGTTATTAACGCCTCTGACGTCATACAACTAATGTAGAACCGCAAGAGGTAGCCTTAATAAAAATACTGTTCAATGCTTAACAAGTAATTAATCACTACCTTCCAATATTAAATTTCTGTAATAATAGATATACCAAGAAATAACTAATATAGAAAAAATAGTGCGTGATATTATGAAAGAGCGTTACATAGAGCTACGATCGATACAGGCGATATCGATAATCACCAGGTCACGTACATTGGCGATGGAGTTGATGTGTTTGTTGCCGGTAGTGGCGGTTGACGTGGCTGGCGGTGGAGGCATGGGCGACTGCACGGGCAGCCCTCTGAGCTGTTCGAGAAACGGCAGAAACATCAGTGATTGCGGCCCCGACATGCTCAGCTGGCTCTTTGTCATCTGAGCCTGCAACTCCTGGATGTTGTGCTGCATGATGTGCTCTTGCTGCCGCTTCAAGTGCTCCGTTTGCAGCCGCTGCATCTCGATTTGCTTCTGCGAGTCGACCGTCATGTGAGCGGGATACGACTGTAAAAGCACACGGACCACTAATTAAAGGGATGCTGTGCATGCCGGCTCTCATACAGAGGAGTTGTGAGATCCCTTGCCATCGCGAGGGTGACCATTCCACCTTGACAGCGGCTTATCCGCGTGCCTCGTGGATGAAATACGTTGGACGTATTGCCGGGACAATGCGAGTGTGAAGTAAATTGCGCGACGCGATTGCCACTTTATACCGCCAACGACTCGATGCGTCGTAAATACCGTTTTGGGCTCCCTCGTTATATTTCGCCTATATATACTTTAGACTTCGAGCGAATGGCTGCGAATAAGTACGTTATTATATGCGCAGTTGCCCGAACAAGATTTATTTTTTCCATTATTGTGAAAAAGATTACGCAGCGCAAAAGTCATTTAGATTTTTTAACAACCTGACGCAATCCACACCGAAAAAAAATTACATATAAAATTATAATACATAATTTTAGAACTTATTATTAACATGTATACATGAACTTATTAGTATACATGTATATTTACAAGTAAAGGTATAATATAACTTAGATAATTTATTATTTTTATTTTTATTATTATTATTTTAATTTATTATTAATTAGATTATTTTTTTTTATAGTAACTAAACAAAAATTGCAAAACATTTTGCAAAAGTAAATTTACAATGAATTTTAAGTTTACAGAGAAATTCATAAAATAATTTTCAGCAAATTATGTACAATTATTTTTCTTACATTATATGTATATGAACGTAAAAATGCAAATATATGTATGATATTTACCCATTTATATTATATAATATTACAAAAATTTGTACATTTAAATAAAAATTATACAATATTTTTTATTGTTATCAATTTTATTGGTAGCAATTTCCTGTCTAATATAAAACATATTTATATAATTAGAAGAAAAACTATTTTGTGAAAATGCACAGTTTTTAATATTTCTATTATAAATTGTGTAATTTTTACACATGTTATTTATATAACTTCATATACTTTTTTACAGTGTAGAAACATTCTAAGCGAATACTTTGTTGCTTGAATGTATAATTACAACGTGCATTATGAACAGTTGCACCACATTTGCAAAATATTTTTTAGTTTTTAATGGTATTAATTATATAAGTTTGGTTAACGAGGTCATTATGTTACATTTACTAAACTTATATAAACACTACGTTATTTCTTTTTATTCAAATTAAATAAAAAAATTGTTTTGCATCGCATTTCAATTTTTACTGATTTCGTAATGCAAAAATTTTAACTGCAAAAGAAATGCTTCTCAATGTCAATAAATCGACAATTCAAATGGCTACCTCGAATAGTCTATCTATTGTTTTTTTATTTATATAAAAATTTTTTCTAAAATATGTTAATTATAAATATTTGTTAAAAATATAATTTTTTTAAACTTTTTTTATGATATTTTTATACTGACATAACTGAATATAAAGAGACGGATATATTAAAAATTTCACGTTTCAAGTTATCAAAGGTATTTTAATATGAAATGTATATTACGATGCCCATCATAAATACATACATACTGATAAATGCAATAATATATAATAGTATGTCAAAAAGATGATTACTTCATAACCAAATAGTTAAAGACCTAATTGCGTGTGTGATTGTAATATCTCGCAATTAAGCGATTCGCAAGCCAAATGCATCACCAGCAAATTTTTGTGATTAACATTGTATTAATAGTTTCGAAGAAGCACGCCAACGCGTTTAGACGAGCGAGTATACGATCCACCCTCCATAGGAACGCAACAATTTACACGACAAATATCATTGTACTTTCCTACGTCCTGGCTACGATCCAGATATGCGTGGAGTTTATTTTAGACGATAAGGAAGACGTTTATTCATCCAGCCTGTGCACCAGCTGAGATGTCACGCGCGCGCGCGCGCACGCGATGCTGGATGCACCCGTGGTCGCCCTTCTCCGATTCCGAGTCGCGCGATTATTAATTTCACGACGTTCCCAATGGCGGTTCTCTCGGGAACTTTATCGCTGAGACGTAGAACCGACGTAGCAAAACATTGGTTTATATTTTATAAATAGTTATGGCGGAAAATAAAAACTGCAGGGCGACACAAAAATCCGCGCAAAAACATGCAGCGTTGCACAAGCGATGATAAGCGTGACCTTCCGTGTCGATTGGACATTGCCGGATACTTCTTATTGGTTTCTACGGATTATTAAAAACGATAGAGCGAAAAAAAACGTGGATGTATGAGCAACATATTCTAACATATTAACGCGCGAAATGATTACAATGTACGTAGCGCAAGATGTCAATATGTCGGTCACTTATCGATATAAACAGTATGTTTTTCAACTACAATATTAAAATCTATACAAATATCAATATTTAATTTTAACAAATAAAAGTCAATTATTTTTTCTCTATACATTACAAAAAGAATGATTTTGCTGAAGTAATCTAAAAATTTAGCTAGATATAGATCAGAAAATAATTTTCTTGAATCATCAAAATAATTATGTGGAACACGTTGATAATACTGTTGCAAAAAGTTTAACATTTTAAGCCAATTTGAGCGTTCAACATAATTATTTTGATAATTCAAACAAAATTATTTTCGGATCTATTATATATTTAACTAAATTTTTAGATACGTACTTTTTAGTAAAATCATTTTTTCCGTGATACTTTGAATTGCCATTAAAAAGGAATAATTAAATTATATTAATTCTAATTAAAAATTACATAATTATATATATGTAAAATACGGTTAAATATGAAATGATATTAAAGTTAAATATGAAATGATATTTTTATACATGTATTTGAAATAATTTTAACTGTAGTTAGCGCTTCTTTTACTTATAAGGGATCTTCGCGATATATCAAATTCTATTGAAACTTTATGTACTTATAGTTTATAAATATAAATAGATGGAAATATAAAAGTTGAAATTGCTTTACATATAAGGAATGATGATTTCATTCCTTAAAAATGTTTATTTGTCGCTAATATTTTTCAAATTCATCTACGAATGTAAGATACAAATATATAACATTTCATAAAAATCAGAATTTGACACTTCGCAAGATTCCATTAGTTGATTTATTCATATGCAGTCTCGTTTAACTCTCTTTTATTTATTATTGACTATTTATATATATTTCTATCTTTACCTATATTTTTTCATATTAATCAATAGAGATAAATAGCATTTTTCAATAATGCTAAGAATTAGGCTTGATGTACAACAGAGGATGAATATATATATACTGTCTTAAGCCGCGGGATTAACAAAGCGGTCATTACGGGGGATTAAGAGTATCGTATGACCGTAGTCTTCATTCTCTGTATTCATTGTCGTTACTATCTTTTACGATGCGTCGTTGGTACGACAAACCGTTCAAAGACTGCCGAACTGTGCGTTTATGTCCCTGCGAGCGTCCCAATGAGCGCATGTGCGTTCATTGAGACCACATGTGTCGCGTTCGCTTCGGTGGCGCGAGGGATCAGCCACCGGGAGACAATGAGTCGCGACCGGGTAACGCCAATTCGGGTAACATCTTTGGTTCGCGATATCTATAATAGGCAAAAGAAAGAGAGAGAAAGAGAGGGGGGAGAGAGAGAGAGAGAGAGAGAGAGAGAAAGGGACGACTGGAACTTCATTATTCATTTGCACAGTTCAGTTATGCCGATGATACGTATCCGTGACAGCTATACCGCCCACAGTGGCTAAATATAAACAGGCGGGGTGCCAGCAAGTTCCATTCACATTCACATCCACACGCGACGCGGCGGTTTAGTAAGTGAGCATAAGAATATGAGGAGCCCCGTTCTGAATATGCATCCGCGCATTGACGCCAACTGCACCGCCTAAACTTAGCCACGCAATTACCGAAACATATTTACCCCCGTAATCGCTCTTCGGCCGATTATCTATCGCGGACGATATAGAATCTCGACATACATCTAGATCACATGTAAAATTGTGATTAAATAATTTCACATGAAATAAATTTACTTATAATTTAAATCGATAAACTATATGTATAATTTTGTAAATAATCTAAATACCATTTTGTTCTCATATCGATATAGCGCGGTATAATTAATACATTTGTAATATTGTTTAATGATAAACGTTTTGTCAAACAACTATCAAATTTTTATTCTCTATAAAATAGAATACAACCAATAGAAAATAGGACCTATAACTGTCGAAGCTGGAATATCTTTGGTGCTTGAATAATTTGGTATGAATTTATACGTGTATATTATTTACGTATCAAATTCTGCCAAACAGCGCGCCGAATTAATTTTATGGTCTTAAAACGCTATACGACAGAACCATATAATAGTACTATCACAAAATTAAATTACTTAATAATTTAATAATTTGATGCTAGTCATAGACATCTTGGAAAGATCTTAATAGTGTTGATCATCATGACGTCAAAATGATTACTAAGAAAAAGTCTTTTCAATTAATTATGATAAATGTTATCGTGATGACCTGTTCTGCTTCGGAGAATATGTATTTTGTGAGAGTTGACGATCGACGAGTGATTTTCGTCGGTGCGACACGCGGGGCTAAAGGCCCATAGAAATTTGCTTGTCCAGATTTAGAATCGGAGCCACTGGAGTGCAAGGGGACATGACGCGGATCCACCGGAAGTGGTTCATACTTCACGTGCGTTATAAAGACTGTCACTGCGGGTACTGTCTAAAATTACGTCGCGCTGCCAGAAGCGCGTGACTCCGACGTGAACTGCCCGCGCACGTAGATCGGATTAAGATCCCTCTTCCCATTCTGGATATCGGCGACCCACAATTTTATCGCGATCATCTTCGTCTGAGATATACAAGTGTTATGAATAATCAATCGCGAAAAGAAGCCGATCTTGCCCAGCCCTTCTCGCCCCGTTGAAGAGACAACGAGAAATCGAGGAACAAAAAAGTGCCGCTGTACTCCTTAATGGAATTTTAAAAGAGAGATATGTAGAATCTCTGATG